ATCTGACCATCCAGATAACACTGCCCACGCCGGTTCTTGCATCCTTATACATAAATCTTTACCCCATTCCCTTATTCCTTCCACTCCAACTGACGCCATTCAATCAACTTCTTTAATCCTTTCAACTCGCCCTTTCCATTTCACAGTCTCAGCTGTATACTGTCCTCCTGGTAATTCCCTCTCCTTTAATCTCCTTGATACGTTGTTCCAATCAATCGGATCGCGCTTTATTGCTGGAGGAGATTACAATGCTAAACACCAACGGTGGGGTTGTCGAACATCCAACTCCCGCGGTAACATCCTTCTCCGTCTCTCATCTTCTAATAGTTATTCAATCCTCTCGCCCATGAGTCCTACTTATTGGCCAACATCCCTCAAAAAACGTCCCGATATCCTGGATATATTTATCACCTCCCAGATTTCCTCCTCCCAAACTATAATCAAATCCCTGGATGACCTTTCTTCAGACCATAGTCCGGTTCTGCTTTCATTACATTCATCTTACATGCTTATTCATCCTTCTTTTCCCAGTCCGCTGGTGTTCCTCAAGGTAGTATCCTTGGTCCTATCCTTTACACAGTTTATACAGCTGACATCCCAACCCATACTAACACTGTTATTACCACGTATGCCGATGATACATGTGTCCTATCCGTTAATAATGACCCAACCATTGCATCCCAAACTCTTCAATCGCACATCACAAGCCTTGAAGAATGGTTTAAAAACTGGAGGATTAAAATAAATTCTAATAAATCCCATCAAATCACCTTTACCCTTCGACGTAAACCTATGACCTCATGTCCCACAGTATCCTTTAATAATACCCCACTTATCCCTGTTGAACAAATCCGATACCTTGGACTTCACTTGGACAAACGTCTAACTTGGAATCCTCATACCAGACTGAAACGACAAGAAACCGCTCGACGTTTCCGACTACTCCAACACTTACTAGACAAACGCTCTAAGCTTCCAGTAAATTACAAAAGACTTATATACATGACTACAATAAGACCTATTTGGACTTACGGAGTTGAGCTTTGGGGCTCCACTAAGCCATCAAATTCCTCTCGTATCCAATCCTTACAATCCAAAATCCTTCGGAAAATCCTCAATGCTCCTTACTTTGTCACCAATAAAATAATCCATAATGACCTTAATGTTCCTTATGTTTCCGATTTGGCCCAATCCAGATACCAATCTTTCCATAATAAACTTCAGAACCATCCGAATCCTCTCGTCTCTAACCTTGCTTCCTCTTCTATTCCTGATAACCCTCCGAGGCGTCTGAAAAGAAGATGGCCTCGAGATCTCTTATTGTAAATACATTTTGTTTTTAGAGTGCTACCAGTGGGTAGTTTCTCAACAAGTCATTTCATGTTTTTATTTTCTGTTATCAAATTTACTTAATGTATTTAATTTTTTAATACAGTTGTAAATATCATGTATAAATAAATAAATAAAATAAAATAAATTATTAAATCTCAAGAAGGCAGTGGATCAGCTGATGAGAAGGTTGTGTTCTCAACTCGTCTGTCAGTTTTTACCTATTTTCTCAGCGTAATCTCTCTGATTATCCACTGAATACAGTTCAAGTGTACATCAGAGCAGTTGATATTTACTGCTTGATATATTATTTTTTTTTTTTTTTTTAATTTATTCCCTTTTTCTTCTCATATGATATGCGACATTGTCAGCAAGTTATGTTCAGTAAGGTGCCCACTAAGAGGACACGGTCAGACGGCGTTAGTAACCCTCGTGATTCACCAACCGAACAAAGAACTCGTCTCTGCCTACGAGAAACCGCTCCAATAACCTCAGTGAACACTTCAGATCCAGAACCTCAGCCTCGACCAGGTACGTCTTCGCAAGAAAAGGTTGAAAAATCCCCTTTCATTTACTCCAAACCCGTTCCAAGTGCTTCAAAATGACAGAGAAGTAATGGAGTCAGCAGCAATACCCAGGGAACCAACGCCACCTCCGATATTTGTAAAAAATATCAACAATTTCCAGCTGTTGTGTACACAACTAAACAAAATCAGCTCTAGCACTTATTCTTGCCTTACCAGGACCAACGATACAAAAATAATACCAGATACTGGAAACCTACCGGAAAATAGTAAAGTACCTGTCCGAAAATGAATGCAAATTTTCATACGTACCAGCTAAGGCAGGAGAGATCGTTCGGTGTGATAAGAAATATGCACTCCTCAACCCCAACTGAAGTGATAAAAGAAGACCTAACGACGCTTTGTGTCAAAGTGCGTCAGGTAAGCAACATTTTGAAGGAAAATAAGGAGCAGCCAGGAGTAAGAAGTGAAGTTCCACTACCTTTATTTTTTGTGGACTTGGAGCCATCACCTGGTGTCAAGAAGATTTATGAAATCAAGAGGTTGTACTACACTATCCTGAAGATAGAGAAGCCGTACCCCAAGAGAGAAATCGGGCAGTGCCACAATTGCCAGGCGTATGGCCACACGAAGACTTATTGCCACCACTTGCCGCGTTGCGTGAAATGTCGTGAACAACACAAATCAGCAGAGTGCACCTAACCAATACAGGATCCTGCAGTTTGTGCCCTGTGCCTGGAGGGACACCCGGCCAGCTACAAAGACTGCCAAACTTATAAGAACCTCAAATCTAGATACCAGAAGAACCGAATCCAAGATGAGTCAACCAGACCAAGGAGGAAACCATCTAGAATTGTTGGTAATAATGTATCATACTCCGAACTGCTTGGAGGTAAGAACCCAACTAATACATGTGAAGCCCTGCCGCAGCAACTACCTCAACCCCAACCTCAATATTCTGTTCATCCTAACATACCTAACCATCAACAACCTCAAATCCCTCATATTCCTCCTCCCTCAAAGGCCACAGATCTCACCAGTTTGTTGTCATCATTCCTCATTGAATTCAAATCAATGGTCACGCCACTCATATCACTCCTTACAAATCTTGTATCTCACCTCATCCCTCCCGTGAAAAATCCTTAAATGACTCCCATCAAACACATATCTATTCTCCTTTGGAATGCGAATGGTGTTACAAATCACGTTGACGAACTAACAGCTTTACTACTAGACAAAAACATTGACGTAGCCCTAATTACAGAAACTCGACTGACCATAAAACAGCATTTAAAAATTCCACAGTACATAACATACCGTACTGACCATCCTGACGGTAAAGCACATGTCGGTACTGCTGTCATCGTACACAAATCCCTCTCTCATCACTTACTCCCATTACCTACTCAAAATTTCCTACAATCGACCGCAATTGTAATCAAAACCTTCTTCTTTCCGGTCACCTTTGCATCACATTATTGGCCTCCTAACAAATCCATATCCAAAGTCAGTTCAGTTCCCTCCTCAACTCCTTAGGTAATCACGTCATCCTGGGTGCAGACTTAAATGCCAAACACCAAGAATGGGGCTCAAGAACCACGAATTCTCGTGGCAGAACATTGCTGTCTGCACTCAATTCCCAACATTTCAGGCTCCTTCCACCCAACTCACCTACTTACTGGCCCACTGATCCTAACAGCAATCCTGATATCCTTGATTTTTTCATTCACAGTGGTTTACGTCCCCTCAATAATTCGCTTACCCGTCTTGATAAACTTTCCTCAGATCATAGTCCATTATTACTTCCATTATCAATAGCTTCTATTCCTAAACCCCCTCCACCGTCCTTCATCAGAGGCCCAGTTAACTGAAAACTCTTTCATCAAATCCTTTCCCATAAAATTGACCTCAGAATGTCTCTGAAAACCCAGAAGACCTTGATAATGCAGTACACTTCTTTACTACCACTATTCTACACGCAATCTGGACTGCTTCCTCCCCAAAAATTCCTAAGAAAAATAATTTACCTCAATACTTAATAGACCTAATTCACATCAAACGCCGTGCCAGAATATTATGGCAACGCTCAAGACACCCCACCGATCGTCACTCCTTAATTCCATCCAGCTTCCTTGTGCAGACACATTCCGGTATCTTGGCTTTCTCTTAGACCGGAGACTAACGTTGAACCCACATACTAGACTTAAAAGACAAGAACTTAACAGACGATACGGCCAATTAAACAGACTACTGAATAGAAAATCTCAAGTTTCAATTGACAACAAGACAATCTTGAAACCTATTTGGACATACGGACTTGAACTTTGGGGGACAGCTAAATTTTCTAACATCAAACGCATCCAATCCCTTTAGTCCAAAATCCTGCGAACAATAGTCGATGCTCCGTTCTACGTAGCCAACAAAATCCTACACCATGACCCCATTAGTCCTCGATCTTATCTCTGAAAATTTTTCCAATTCCATCAGAACCTTATAAATCATCCGAATCCCGTAGCACAATCCCTATTTAGTTCCACTCATCCCTACAATCCTCCTCAAAGGTTGAAGCGGCAGTGGCCCAGAGATCTATGTTGTAGTATATATGTTGGAGTTCCGGCAATGGCCAGATTCTCCACTCAAGACGTAAGTTTATGTGGCTAAAGCGCTCTCGCTCAAACTCCACTGGCTTTAGCAGCAGTGATGCGGTTGAGAGAGTAGCGCAGGGATCTCTTGTCCCGTTTTTCCTCCTATAGTTGGAGGGAGAAGCCTGGCAATCATACTCCCTGTCTGATTGTATATAGGTATGATTGTGATTGTTTTTTTAATTTATTTATCTTTAGGTTGTTTTATTTTTTCTGTATATATGGTATGAATGTGTTATATCATATATCACTATAATAATTGTCCACGTGACAGATTGTTATATTTCTAAATAAATAAAAAAAAAAAATATTAAATCTAATCTCAACATAAACTTAAATGGAAGCGATGTTAAAACATATAGTATCGTATCATACGAACAGTTTCCCACGGTAATTGAAATGGAGAATCGTTTATCCACTATTAGCAACACAGATATTGAACTCGGGAATTTTCTCAACATTTCAGTTAGTGGAACCAGGATTGAATAGTGACAAGTAAGTAAGCTCACTTTTGCAATCTTTCCCTAATAGGAAGACCATGTAAAGCTGTTTCGGCAAAGGGATTACCTGTTCTGGTAAAGATAAGGGACAATTAGATACGGTAGAATTGTCAGGAGAATTCGAGGAGCAACGAGATGAGACTTAAGAGATACTAACAAGAATACGATGAGAAACGGTAAGAGTTGAATCAAAACTCGGCGGGTCAAATGAGACTATGAAAATGGGAATGACCCTTACGTCCGATTCCCTTGCCCATTTTCCGAAGTACATTTAGGGCAGAAGTGAATAAAAACTCCTGGGATGCCGCAACAGCAGAACAACTTACGAAGCAGCGAGCATCTAGTATATACATGACGTCCAGCACAATTCCAGCAAGTTAATTTCTGGTAGACCTGGCTGTTGATCTTTTGGAACATTTCTACTTTGGTCAAAGTCAATAACCGTTTCCCAAAACCAACTGACTCAGACTTCATTTGGTCTGATTGGGGATTGCGATTTGCTTCATCATCAGCGGCGTCAGTTTCGTTTGACCCTCCGAAATTTAAAGGTGCAATGCTAAAGATACTCGAAGGTATTTGTTCTTTCTTTAAACAGCTATTTTGTTTAGTGTATTTTTTAAAGCATGATTTCCCTAATGTATTGGACTTTCCTGATTGGCCTTCTTGAGCCATCATATCTAACACTCTAGATCGTTCCGTAACAAAATTGATCAAGTCCCTATAAGAGGGAATATCTGTTGAATTCATTCGGTCTTCGAACGCTTTTCTGGTTACTGGGTCTAAATTTGTGAGAGCTAGACGAAGTTTGATAAAGTCACCCCTGTGTGGGCGGGGTGGCCGAATGGGCTAACGCGTGTGCACTGCACCGCCGTTGCCCGGCAACCTGATAAATGAATCAAAGATATAAAAATAGACAAGAGTTCGCGTCTCGGTGACGGGGGAGTCTTTTAAATCCCCGCTCATACCCCTGGCCTGGGAAAATCCCGTATAGCCTTAATGGCGATGAAGGAAAGGACACACACAAAAAAAAAAAAAAAAAAAGTCACCCCTGTCCTCAATACCTAAACTGATAACATGGGAAAATTATTTTCATGCTCAGATGAAAATCTCTGTATAACTATAATTAACTAGTAGAGAGGTGGTATACAGGGTGTTTCAGGATCAAGTGGCCAAACTGCAAAAATGAACTAAGGACCTCAGAACTAGAAAAAACATTCCACTGAAGGTATGCAAAAGCTTTGTTTAGAAGATATTCACACCTAAAAGATTTTCGTTGTTATGAATTATTTACGTTATATGAAATAAATAAAACCTATTTATTTGATCTAACTATTTTATTAATTAAATGTAAACATTAACATTTATATTAAATGTTGTTCAAAGTGAAGGTTTTTCCACAAACCCTTTGTTTAGGAAATGGATTAGATAGAATACTAATATGACCTTTTATCCTTAACTGTTGAAAAACTAATGGCAACATAAGAATTAATTACTATTTGGGATTAGCATTGGGAATTCTCAATAACATTTATAAGAAGCTTTCGAAGAGTACTCACCATTATGCCTTACATTTATACTAATGGTGAATATGCCGATATGGTGTTTATATATGATTTTTGCAACGGTAATGCTAATGTTACTCGTCGTGAATATGCCAGGAGATTTCCGAATAGAAGTTTACCAAACAAGTCTATCTTTAGCTCCATGTTTCAACGTCTTAGAGAAACTGGTACATTTGCTATAAAACCTCATGCTAATGGTATTTTTGCTTCTTTATGAAATGACGAAAGGAGTGCGACCATATTACAATATTTTGATGATAATCCATCTGGCAGTGTACAAAGAGCTGGAGCAGAATTAAATATAACACCAACTACAGTATGGAGAACTCTCATTGCAGATGGAATTCACCCATATCATTATCAACGGGTACAAAATTTGTTACTGCAAGATTTTGGGCAAAGAAGAAATTTTTTAGATGGGTACTTAAATCAAGTTGAGCATAATCCACAATTTCAGGAAAAATTCTCTGGACAGATGAAGCTATCATTATGAGAAGAGGTAAATAATCATCTTTTATCGCAGGAAAATCCATGACAATGGCTAAATGTTAATTCTCCCAATCAATGGATTGGCCGTACAGGACCAGTGGCAGATCTGACACCACTGGCTTTTTTTGTTTGAGGTGACATTAAACAAAAAGTCTATGCAAGTCCGGTGAATGACCTTAATTCCTTACGAAGAAGGATAACTAAATCTTGTGAAAAAATAACACATATCCAGTGCCGTTCTGCCACTGCTGCTATTGAAGAAAGATGCTGAGCCTGTCTTAATGCTCTAGGAAATCACTTTAACAACATTTAATATGAATTTAATGTTTACGTTTAATTAATAAAGTAGTTGGAAGAAATAAATAAGTTTTATTTACTTAATATAATATAACGTAAATAAGTCATAACAATGAAAATATTTAGGTGTGAATATCTCCTAAACAAAGAGTTTCCTTCATAGGAATTTTTTTTCTTGTTTTGAGATCCTTGACTGATATTTTCAGTTGGGCTACTTAACCCTGAAACACCCTTTATAAATAAAGTTAGACCAAAAAATAAAATAAATAAAAAAAGAGTATAAGTAACTACTACTATGACATTGTTTACATTTTCATATAATTTGAAATTATTAACAACAATATTTGCCATAAAAAAGAGAAATTACCATAAAAAAGAAACAACCAGTTATTGTTAAGTTAGCTTAAGATTTGATGGTTCTAAAAGCCTCAATGCTCCCAAATATTTTACCAATGCAGGGATCATTAGGACAGAAAAAGATAATATGGCTACCCACCCACACATGTCATTAGAAAAATCGGCGCAGTTACATAGTATAGTGGTTAAACTGATAATAAATGTTGATAAAAACTAAATCTCACATCACACACAAAATCTTTTAAGAAACCGAAAATAACAAACACCAGCTGAAAAAGATTCTATTACAATAAACTCCCTTTTAGAATTAGATTCAGAAACCAGAAAAAACATACATTTTAGGTTATTTGGTAAGAATTATTTTTGATTTTCTGTTTAAGTAGATCAGGTGTTAAATTATTTAGGCTCTTGTTACGTTACTAGGTGTGCTTTGACTCAAGTTGATTTAAGATTATAATAACTAGATTTAAATTTAGTGCAAATAATAATAGCATATAAATAAAGAGTCATAAACATTACTAAAAGCTTAATTTATCATACAACAAGTCTGTAGGTTCTTGATAAATATGAAGTCCATCCATCAATATTTTGAGCAATGCCCTCTATTCTCAAGAACGCTTTGAAATTAAAATTTTTTTTTTTTTATTATTAAAAAACACTTTATTCAGAAATATTACAATTTGTCACAGTTAAGGACACTTAAAATAGAGTTCAGAGATTGCATTCATACCGTATATACAAAAATATAAATAAATAAAGTAATAACAAAAGAATAAGAAGAAAGAACAAAAGAGTAAAGAAAAAAAAAATATATATATATACACATAAGTAAATAAAAATAGAAATAAAAGTAAAACAAACACCTTATATAAAACATACATTATTTACAATTTGCCAGGGATCTCCTAAGCCTCCCTTTTCCCTCCACATGTGGAGGGAAAAGGGAGGCTTAGGAGATCCCTACGCTTCTCCCTCAGCCACTTCACTGGTATTTTAAACCAGCGGAGGATGAGTAAGAGCGCTACAGCCACAGACACTCATGACTTGAGTGGAGAATCTGGCCATTGCTAGAACTCCAAAATATCCATATTTACAAAAGGTCTCGTGGCCACTGCCGCTTTAACCTACGAAGGGGATTGTAGGGATGGGTGGTGCTTGATAGGGATTGTACAACGGGATTTGGGTGATGAGAAAGGTTCTGGTGAAATTTGGAAAATTTGGCTGGGATAAGATCAAGAATAAATGGGATATTAAGGTCATGATGTAGGGTTTTATTGGTTACATAGAAGGGAGCATTGACTATTGTACGGAGGACTTTAGACTGAAAGGATTGAATGCGTTTGATGTTAGAAAATTTGGCTGTTCCCCATAGTTCTAGTCCGTAAGTCCAGATGGGTTTCAGTATTGTCTTGTAGATCAGTAATTTGTTTTCACCAGAAAGTTTAGATTTTCTATTCAGTAGTCTATATAGCTGGCCATATCGTCTGTTAAGTTCCTGTCTTTTAAGTCGAGTATGTGGATTCCATGTTAGTCGTCTGTCTAAGAGAAAGCCAAGATACCGGACTGTATCTGAGAAAGGAAGCTGGATGGAGTTAAAATAAACTGGTGGGCAGGTATTACGCCGAAGGGTGAAGGTAATGTGTTTACATTTAGATTCGTTTACCTTAATGCGCCATTTCTTACACCAGTGTTCAATCAGGAAGAGGTGCCTTTGTAAGTTTGCGGACGCTGTTTCAGGATCTGAGTTGGAAGAAAGGATAGCAGTGTCATCAGCGAAAGTTGCCAGGAGGGTATCGGGATGGACAGGAATATCAGCGGTAAAGAGAATGTAAAGGATGGGGCCCAAGACGCTGTCTTGAGGAACGCCAGCCTCAATTGAATAACAGTCGGAGAATTCGGTGCCACAGCGAACTCGGAAGGAGCGGTCGGAAAGATAGGATCGGAGTACTAGGTATAAGGACTGTGGTAGATGGATTTTAAGCTTGAAGAGTAATCCGGCGTGCCATACCCGGTCAAAAGCTTGCGCTATGTCCAGAAATGCACCCGAGCAATACTGCTTGCTTTCTAGGGTTGAGGATATATGGTCAACAACTCGGAGTCCTTGCTGGACAGTGGAATGTTGGGAACGAAATCCGAATTGATGAGTAGGAAGGTTATAGGATTCAATTATAGGTAGGATTCGTTTCAGTAGGATCTTTTCAAAAATTTTTGAGAGGATTGGGAGTAGGCTAATTGGTCTATAGGATGCTGTATTGTTGGAAGGTTTGCCTGGTTTCAAGAAGAGGACGATGGTGGAATGTTTCCATAAAAGAGGGAAGTGGGTAGTTCGTAGGATGCAATTGTATATATATGTAAGAAATATGATGGCTTTAGATGGAAGTTGTCGAAGGATCTGTGGGGTTAGAAGGTCATATCCAGGAGATTTGCGAGGTGTGATTTTCCGTAAAAGGTATTTGACCTCAGAGGGATTAACAGCTTTAGGTGGTAAGGAGAGTGGGATAGGTATTGAGAGGGATTCTTCTACTTTTACTGTGTGGCTGGGATGGGATTCTGGATGAGGAGCGAAAGTATAGGAAAGGTGTTTGGCAAATTCCTCGGCTTTATCTTCATCAGATGCTGCCCAGGAGCCATCATCTCGTCGAAGAGGGTGGGAAATATGATGGGATTTGAGGATTTTTCTGGTGATATTCCAAAGGGAATTATCATGAGCAGAGAGTGTGGTGAGGTAGGAATTGAATGATTGGGATCTGAAGGTGGCTAATTCTTTTTTTAATTTTTTACAGTGATAATTGTAGGAGTGGCGGTCGGCTGGATGTCTGGTACGTTGCCATAATAATCTGGCACGGCGTTTTATGTGGATTAGGTCAAGGAGGTGTTGAGGTAAATTATGTTTCTTAAGGATTTTGAGGAGTGATCAGGGGAGGAAGCAGTCCAGACTGCTTCTTGAATTTTGGTAGTGAAGGAATGTACTGCATTGTCCAGGTCTTCAGAGGTTTTCAGGGTTACTCTGAGGTCAATTTTATCGGAGAGGATTTGATGAAA